CAATAGCATTGTCTGTTCTGTCCATCAATCCGATTTCACATCTATTCCCGAGTATTTCCATATGTGTCAAAGAACTAATTGCACATGGTCTCCTGCATTTTAACTGTCAGTTTATTATTGATAAATAATCAGTTGTACCTGGAAGGACCTTTTCAAACGTTCTCTTTTTAAGGATCCTTGTGAAGGCAGTCATCTTCTTGCTGTAGCTTTTGCAAGATGGGAAAAATCTCAGCACAGGTGGGACTCTAGCCGCTGGAGTCTGCTAGTGTGTAAATAAGGCAATGGCGCTGACATGATGGGCAGTGCTGATTAGTTACCTGCAGCATTAACAGGAGAGGACGTGCAAACGTCACCGCCGCTGCGTTGAGATTCACTAATCAGAAGCGGGTCAAAAACACGATATTCACTTTAAGTTATCGCATATTTTCTGCGTAAAAGCTTTTGCGTATTCATAATGTTTCCTACCTTTGATGAAATATCTAATTAGCAAGTATTGCAAGTTGCTTTGTTGTCACCCTTTCAAGTATAACCAAACTTGAGCGTTTTTGCCGCTCCATGTTTCCTGCTGAGTAAATGTGTAAGCTACGCAACGTGTGTTGACATTCATGCGAACTGGAATTGAAAAGTGAATCGTTTGCAAAAATTCCTAGGCCTCAACAAGAACCCGTTTTCGATTCCCATCCCTAGTTTTTATCCACAGACGCACCAATAATCAGATTTTACCTCCATATTTCTTTGAGCAGGTCAGAACTCCACAACAACAGCAAAATCACTTAAAGCTTCTGTGCATTTCAGGGTATCTGCGGGTCCTTAAAAAGTCTTAAATAAGCTTTGCCAAATTTAAGGCCTTAAAAATCCTTAAAACTGACAAATAATCCTTAAATACAGTTTCCAAAGGTCTTAAATTACCAAAAGACCCAATAAACAAAATTCTTTTATTTCTGTAAAATTTTCGTGAATTTCGTGTTCAGCATTTTTTGTGTATGATGTTGGCGTAAGCGGAACCGTACACATTCAGTTGGTTGTGAAAGGGGGCTATTTTTCGATGAGCATGTTAAGCTAGTGGGAGTTTGCGCCATGGGGAAGTGCAACATTAATGGTAACTGGATGGCTAATCCCATGTTCACGACGTGGTTAGCACCGGTTCCAGGCAATAGCTGGAAATTATAGCTTAAATTTAATTTTAAAAAATAGCTTAAATTTGGTCAAAGTGGCCTTAACAAAGGTCTTAATACGTCTTAAATTTGGCTCCCCTAAATCTGCAGATACCCTGGCATTTCCACTTCTGTCAGATGATTTTATTCTCCTGGTTAAATATTTTATCCTGGATCATTTGTGCTTGTGCACTTATTCTCTTCAAACCTGTGAATAGTTCACTTTCTGAGTAAGAGGATGAAATCAGAAGCAGCGAGTGGCTCTAGCTGATGATGGGGTTAGGGTTAAATGTCGACGTGAACTCGTAAAGTCCTGATGTTTTGAACCTTGACAGGAAGTCCCTGCTCTTGTTACCAACACTCAGAAGCACTCATTCTTCCTTATTTCTTATTTTAAATATTTATTTCTCTCCAGTTTGTGAAATGGTCCCAACTTTTGTATTCAAATGTCTCAGAAGGCAAAACCTTTAAAAAGTAAAGAGAAAAAAGTTGGAGCGCCTGAGCCGTCCACATGTAACCGGCTGAATAAAGTGCTCCCTTCCCCTGGTGTGAGTTCCTGATATTAACCTGGCAATATGAGGCAGCTGCAGTTTCTCCACTCCGGTAGACGAGGTGATATTGAGTCTGGGAGAAGAGCGGAAAATGAGGAGGGTGGTGGTGAATGATGAGGGGGGGTGAAGTTAGAGAGGAGAAGTGAAAGTGTGCGTTAGAGCAAAATGTCATAAATCACTCATGATCCTTCAGGACAGAGACAAAAGCGAAAAAGCCTGAAAGGACGGGAAAATGTGGCTTTATGTTGCAGACAAACTACCGGTGACGGATCAGCGTTAGCCTGATGTACCGCGCTGGAATCTTCTGATGGCCCCAAACTAACCCTCGAGTCTCAAATGCCTTCTGTTCAGCAGAAAAAATCCTCCTTCACCCTTTTTTATATAAAAGCTCCTGATTTACTGACTGCTTGTTGGCTTGAATTCCTTCATTGAAAGCTTGAAATACCTCGTTTCAGTTTTAATCCACAGTGTGCTAGCTGTAGGGCTGGGCGGATCGATCTAAAATATCGATAGTATCGATCTAACGTTGGTATTGAGTATTTATTAGATACCTGCGTGATGGTATCGATTCAGTTTCTTCTAGCCTGGCAAGCCATGACGTACTCACAGATGTCGGTCAACGAGGCAGTCTACCAAACTCCGTCAAAGAAGATGCAAAACACATCCTTTTCCTAAATAAACGTTAGTACTTCTATCTGATCTTGACTCAAACAAAAGCTAAAGTCATAATAGTCCAAACTTGATGCCAAAGCTGTTTCAAACAAGCGGCTGACCGCCGACTAGTCACGTTTGTTTTTTTCCAATAACATCCTGCCTACTTAGTGTTGCGATTGGCCCATGAAATCTATAGAGCGCTATGATTGGACCACTACTGACCGGCAGCCATCTTGATTTGTAGTTTACCTGGCTGATACCTTTGATTGGACCTTTTCGAGCGGCATCCATGTTTGTTTGCAGGAACATCTTGCCTACCTCGCTAAAAGAGCGCTGTGATTGGCCCAACAAACCAGTAAAGCACTGTGATTGGAACGCCACGGATGTCAGTCAACGGGGTAGTCCGTCGTTACATTTAAAAAAGAGTAAAACGGCGCGCCAGCACGAGACAAGCACAGAACAGCAGAGAGCACTGTTGTGGCTGCGTGATGGCAGACCAAAAAAAGGAGCGCCGTTTGGAATTTTTTTTATACAGCTTTATATATTTCAAATAGAAAAAAATTTTGAGTTTGTTAACCATTTTTAAACCATTTTGAGTTTCCTAATAAAAATTTTATTTGCCTGAAAATGTTTCCTGTATCTTATTATCATCGTATACATGATTTATTAAAGGAAAACTTACAAAATAATGAAGTAATCAATAAAACTTGAGTTTTCAGACAAGATTCTTATCATCAATATGAGAATCTTGTCTGAAAACTCAAGTTTTATTGATCTTATTTTAATAAATCCCACAAAACTAGATGGTACTAGACTAGTAGTAAAAAGTAGTGATGTGGCGTTCACGATCGAATCGAATCTTTTGAACGGAGTCGTTCAAAGGAGCCAGTCTTTTGAACGGCTCTTTAAAGTTAACGACCGACTAATGAACGGCTCCCATGAAAGAGCCATAAATCCCTAGCCTGGCAAGCCAGACTAAATAATTGTATTATTTAGTCTGGCCACGCTCCATTGACGGCTCTCGGTTGTGGGGCGGGGTTCTACCGTTGTCTTTCAAATGATCTCCGCATTCCACTGGACAATGAATGTGACATACTCTTGTTTCACTCTGTTGCATCATCCCACCCACCAGGCATATAGAGTGCCCTGATTGGCCCACAAAGCGGATAAAGCTCTGTGATTTGTTCACTAAGCAGAGAGAGCACTATGATTGGCCCACCATTATGGACAGCTCTTTGTGTGTTTGAAACCCCTCTAGAGAGCTGTGATTGGCCAGCCAGACTGCTGTTGGGGGCTGCAGACGTTCCAGTGGAGCATTCCTAGACCAAACTTTGCAAAGCAAGAATTTGGTCTAGTTCACTAGGCTAATAAATCCCATCACTAGTAAAAAAAAATATTGGTATTGGTGTCAGGCGCGCTGGTGAGCGGAGGTGAGGATCACACGCTGGGGAGGAATCAGGCAGGCAGACAAACTGGGACAGGTAAAGTCTTTTAATAAGGAACACGCTGACATGGAAATAATGACCCAACAAGAGACACAGAACTGAAGGGGTTTAAATACATGAGGGCTGGGAGCTTGGGTGATTGGAAAACGAGAGGCAGGTGGGAGCAATTAACAGACACATGACTGAACAGAATGGGGAGACAAGACAGGGTGTGACAATTGGTATCGGCAATACTGGCCCCTGTATTTACTTGGTATCTGATCAATACCAAATTTTGCAGTAACACACAGCACTAGCTAGCTGCTTAAATTGTCACAATTTATTCCGTTAAAGTAGAAACCTGCAGTTTTTCTCAGCGGGGACCACCGAGAACATTTCGGCCAGTTTGGTCTGTTTGTGGCTGTGAATGCAGTCGTAACTGCTCCAACAGCTCGAAAACACCGCTCAGTCTAGACACTTCCGCACGCTCCGTGACGGACACCTGTACATAAGTGGCAGTCTAATGCCATTGGCAAATGCTGAGCGGTGCTCATTTCAAATTGAATGGGGCTCTATGGGAAGGAGGAGGGGGTGGGCTTATAAAAAATGGCGTATTGCATCACAGAAGGTCAGATTGTCACCTTCATGCAGTTCTAAATAATCGTACAAACTTCCTGAAAGGAGGGAAACACGGAAGTGTGGCGCAAAATTAAATTGGACCGATATGAAGTTTTAACATCATAACTTTATTCTTCCAACAATATATCTGTCACGTATAACATCTGATGATGATATTATGGTACAAACGTAGAACAATAAGGGTAAGATGTTATAGCGTGATATCGGTTTACTTTTATTTTGTGTGGCTGACAGCTCTATGCTTCCGTAGAAACTCTGGATTTCAGCTTTAATGGGATTTTATGTTTGGCACACTTCAGCAAGCATTTGCTCCAATAGACAGGCAGCATATGTGTTTTCTTGATTTAATGAGTTGCCTCTTTTACTATCTGCCATTGGAAATCCTCTTGTGCTGTTATGCAATAAACCAGTGGGGATGTTTGGAGCGAGTCCACTAAGTGGGCCTTAGTTTGGAGCTCCAGCTTGGCAGATGGTGGGTGAGTTCATTTAAATGCCTCTCAGCCTGCCCAGTGCTCTGTGATGAATGAAATGGAAATAAATCACTTTTAAAAAAAAAAATCACCAATCTATATTTCCAGGTGTCCTCCATGGACTTCATGGCGATGAAGCGCAGTCAGATGTACGGCATGGCCAACAACCCCTACTCCAACCCTCAGCAGCCAGGGGGTGGGCCATACCCCTCCAACCAGACGTATGCATCACCTCCTCCACATCGATATCCAATGAGCATGCAGGGGAGGAGCCAAATGGGCATGGGAGGAATACAGTATCAACAGCAGGTACGACAAGGAGCTTGAGTCCCTCTGTGACGTTGTTCCGTGTTCGATTTGAGGTGCCAGGCAGCACATCTCACTTCTGCAGGAATCTCACCGCCGCACCATGATACCGATGCAATGTCTACCTGTGACCGTCTGCAAGATGTTCATTCTTTACTCTTCCATGCTTTGTCACGATATAATTCTGCACATATGGGTGGATGAATGAGTGTGCGCTGAGGCCTGTTTGATTAACGTGTGTGTGGGATAATGTCTTTGTAGTAAACATAGATGAGCTCCATTGGCCCACGTCATCGTCTCTCTCCATGTAGCACAATAGGTCTGTGTTAGCAACAATAGCGCTTGTGTCTGCTTTATTGAGACTTAAGTAAATCCCATTTGGACTGGAAGGGTTTGGTTGTGTGAATGGCTCTGTGGAGAGAAAACATGTTTTTTTTTTAATTCCACATTTCTGGCAGAAAGTGAGCTTCTTGTGTGTACGTGGAAAACAATTTAGCTCCATCGGTGTAGTTGGTGGGGTACAGTGCTCCCCGCTGTCTTTGCCTGCTATATTTAGTCAGAGTAGTCTGTCGGTCTGGACTTGAACGCCTCGCTGGGGTAACTGCTTCCACACATAGCAGGAAAACAAAGAGAGAAAGTGAGAAACGCATAAGAACTGACAGACTTCCTGTTTTGTCTAAACTTATTGCACAAAACTGCACACATGCAGAGAGGAGGCGCTTACACAATTCTCCCCAAACCGTTTTCATATGATTGGATTTTTCCAAAGAAAACAGTGGAGGGATTGAGAAAACATTAGCAAATGGGAATACTGAGAAACATTGTTTTCATTACGGGTTAATAAAACTGAGACTGTCGTTGCACATTGATCTTTCATGGCTCTGGAGAAGCATTGGAAAGCTTTATAAATGTGTGCTATGGTACACTCCTGTTGCTCTGCCTGGTGAGTCTGTTATATTCCCAACTCAGACTTCATTGCTGCAGGTCTCAACCCCCCCCTGACGCATTTTTGTGATGACAGCACACTCCCAAAATGATCATTACTGAGCTCAATAAGGGGTTTCACATTATGAAATGCACAGTTGGGAGCAGGTGGATGTGTGTGTGTGTGAAGATGTGCCGTGCATGGCGCGCATTACCAATGCACAAAAGATGTACAGTCAGTCAAACAGGCAGAAAAACACATTCCTGGTCCTATTTAGTGATGAAATCCTCCGGCGTGTAGCATAGGGGAGGCTGTGGTCGGGGTAGCAATCACTGCCTAGCGTTATGGAATGTAATTAGTTCAAATAGAATTAGTTGTTCGCTCTGGCTATAGCCATGGGAACTGTGCTTCTAAAGTTTCTAATTATCTGGCTCTGGCTTTAAAAGCAGCACCACCGCATTGCCTATCTGCAGCCGGTGAAATCTAGCTCACGGTAATGAGTTCGGAGGAGGAGGTTTAATTCCACGCTCTCACATGAGCATAATGAGGCTCACCTACAGAAAAGCGGTCAGGGGTCTGATCAGGAAGGAGAGGAGAGGTATAGCAAAGCAACGCTGCAGATGCAGGATGCACCGGTTCCATAAGAGACTCTTGAGTACATGTCAAAGGAACGCGGTTGTTGCGGATGGATCTGAGAGGAGCGATCCGCCACCCTCGCGCCCTCTCTCAAACCTCGGCAACGCCGAGTTTACACAGTGAGACTTTTTCCAGGATCGGCTGCAGAGAGTGATCCTGACTGCAGCTGCCTCAGTGAGGGGGATTGTGGGTGATGTAAGACACAGCACACGCAATCCCCCATGATGCATCACACTTCAGGGCTGAGACCTCGGCTTGTCACAGCCGAGCATGCTGAGATGTTGCCAAGCAACATGACGTCAACAAAGGCTTGTGTGTGTGTGTGTGTCTGAAGGGGTTTTAGCAGTGGAACAATAGGTCTTCTTTGACTTCTTTTCATCACTGCAATGAGACTCAGCTGAAATTAAGCTGGACTCATTGGATGGAAGCTCTTCTCAGTAATAATTCATCCAGCGGAGTTACTGGAAACGTGTAGGGCCTCACCTCTGCCCTTTAAATAAAACTAGTTTGGGGTGCCGTCCTGCTGCCATCCTGCACATTTATATTAACAGAATTCTTCTCCCTGCTGTTCAGGAGGCTCCTGTCTGTGAGTCGACCATAAGATCCTCTGTGTTGTTAAAAACGCTCATTATGGATGCTGCTGACAACTGTTAAGTCTCGTGCAACACCACAGAGGTCATGATCTCTTTATAAAAGCCTTGCAATATATTTTAATGTTATTACATTTTTGTTGTTTTTACACATAAACATGGCAGGGGTGAGGAGTGAGCGCTACCTCACCCCTGCCAAGGTGGACCTCAAGGGATAAACCATCAATCCTGCTCAACGATCAGCTTTCCTGGCGGGGTCACCCATAAAGACAGTGGGAGGGTTAAATGTGTGACTGACTGAAAAACAATATTAATGATTATTTCTGATAGTAATCTGTCAGTTTTTCATGCAGGCTGAACATGAAAATGGTATTCTACCCCTATCTCCTGCATTAGCTTCTGATAGAAAATAGACGATGAAATGCTAGGATTTGAAAATCCTCACACTGTGACATCACACTGTGAATTTGCATTCATGACCTCGCCCATCTAGGCTCGTGCCCGCCCACAGGAAAACTCTTTTTTTTTTTTTTGCAGCAAGGAGAGCAAGTGGGGAGTATCTTGGTGACAGTAACTACGCAATATGGCTGAATGCGTTCTGTCAGCCAATCAGAAGCGAGGTGTGTGTTTATCATTAATAATAATGAGTATTCCTGCTGTTTTCAGCCCAACTCTGCACCAGCAAACTTCTGCATCAGTAGGAGCAGTTTTTTAATGTCTCGTAAGGCATTGATATACACTAGAGAACACTAAATGTATTGAATAAATGAGTAAACCACACCTTTAAAACTCATAAAATGTGCAGATTCAGATTTATTAACGGTAAGACGCATATAATCCTATTTAGATTAAAATCAAAAGATTATTAATATTTATTCATCCCTGTGAAATAACCAGGAAAGTCCTGACCACTCCATTTGTCTTTATTCTCACAGTCCTTCACAATAAGAGTCTCAAAAGTGCACTCAAAACATCACAAGGCCATACATTGTATATTTTTGTGCTGGTGGTAAAACTCCAGATGTAAGTCCACTTTTTCTAATTGTATTAACTTTTTCTATTTTGACCCTTTTTTTAGACCATTATTGTCATTTTTCTCAACAGTTCAATTCTTTATCATATTTTGACTTTATTCTTGAAACCGGGGAACAAATTTAAACATTTTTCCCAATGATTTTATCTTAAAGGCACTAACATACCATTGCATATTAAATTATCATCAGTGTGGCAAAGTGACATTTAACATAGCTAAACGTGTTCTGGGATTTTTGTGAAGGATATAAAATAGCAAACAGGAGGATTTGATTGAACTAATTAGACCACAGACGCATTTCTAACTCTGTATTTTAGAGCTAATTCTAGTGCAGATTTTATATTGCAGCCATACGGGACAGACATCAGTCTGGATGCTGATTTGTCGGAGAAAAGGCACATCATCCCTCAACTTTACACCCCACCCACCTAATAGGCCTATCTTTGGATTAGCTGTCGTTAGCATCATGCTTCGTCGGCTCGCGTGTTTGTGAGAGATGGCTTGTGTGTGTGTGTGTGTGTGTGTGTGTGTGTGTGTGTGTGTGTGTGTGTGTGTGTGTGTGTGTGTGTGTGTGTGTGTGCGTGCGTGCGTGCACAGATGAAGGAGGGTGGAGTAGAAGAAAGAGGCGGGTGTCTTGGGGATTTCAGGCTCCACTCTAGAAAAGCATCTGTTTGGGAAGTGTAATAAAAATAAAAAGAGTGTGGCCAATTTTGAGTGTAATTTTCTGTGATGTCAAAGTTGTCAGACGGAGGGGAAAAGGAATTTGAAGGAAACATTGATGTTTGATCTGAAAAGAAGGGGGATGGAGGGGGAGAGGGATGGAGTAGGATAGATCCTGGGAAATAGTTGAGAGGTAAAGTGTGTGTGTGTGTGTGTGTGTGTGCCTGTGCAGAGGGTGATTTTGTCAACCATTACCACTGTTGGATGTTTGTCCCTTACATGCTGGGCCAACCTGATAGAAGCTGAGCATTTAAAGTCAAGTGGAAATGTGGCCGACCTGACACACACACACACACACACACACACACACACACGCGCACACGCACACATGCACACACACACACACACACACAACACCCTCTCCATCCTTCAAGGCTTTGTTGCGCTTTTGTTGTCTTTTTACAGATTACTTCTCTGGAATTCCCTTTATTTACTCCCAGTAGAAGGACGGCACAGCTCCACTTTAAAACATATTCTTATCACAACATTATGACCACCGTTTTCCACTACAGCATCTCAGAAAACGTCTCAAGACTGGCTCTTGTTGCATGAAAGTGAGCAGTGTTTCTTCACCTCCACGTGGTTATAATCTCATGGCTGTTCTCCTGTCAGCTGCACAACAGCTGCGCACATTCCTAAACAATAAGTGTTCAAAGATGGCTCCTTCATTTCTTATTCCCTTCATGTGTCAGAGCATCTTTCCCAGCAGTAGATCAAACGAAATGCTGAAACTGTAAACTAATGTAAACAGCTGGGGTACGTGGTTATTCCTGTTTAAATAGTTGTAGACGTCCGTTGGCGTGGCTTTGGTGTGAGTGGAATGATTCAGCAGCAACAATAATTACATATCTCACTTTGCAGCATAGTAACACAAAGTGTCTTTCATACATAACACCTGAGTGTTTCCTACAAACGAGTCTCCGCAGTGAAAAAAGACCCGTCACAAATGATAATGTAGGTCATCAGTTAAAGCACGGCAGAAATTTTACATTTAGTCTAATTCTTTCAGTCAGTTTCAGCACTTTGATTGTAAACATGTATAAATGGAAAACTGAATTCTCGGGTCCTTTTGGGGCTTTTAATTAGCGTTTTTATTAAA